GAAGCTTGTTAACTGCCCTTTCTATCCAGTAGGATGTGTATCTACTATTCCTCAATGCACAACGGACCAACATCGTCTCGAGAATCTGCAGTCGCACTTAATTTGCATCTTAAAACTTATTCACAAGGAAGCATCTTTTGAGGCTTTGAAAAAAAGGACTGAACAGTTGTTGGAGGTCAGTTATTTAATGGTGCCCCTATTGTCTTTCTCTGGATATAGTAATATTTTACTGCTGCTTATCTTTGGAACTTAAATCTTCAACGACGCATAGGAAATGTATAGCTCTTGACGTGGTTGTCAGACCTCTTTATAACAAGATCGCTAGATAACAACCATTCACTATAAAAGCCAAGTTTCTTTTGGAACTAATTTATATGCTATGTTATAATATGTGTTCTCTATAACAGCACTTCGTTATAACAACCAAAACATTCTGGAACAAACGAGACTGTTATAGAGAGGTTTGACAGTATCTTCTTTTCTTCAAAAACAGGCATCATCACCTGGACGGCTGGCAACTGCTCGTGATGCAAGATCACTAACTGTTGCGATCAAGAGTATTGATGCAAAGCTTGGACCCTTAGAAGTTGAGGAAGATGCAGAGGGCAATGAGTTGAACGACGAAAAAGAGGACAACACTGATCTATCTACCAAGAAAGATTGTTCAATGGACTTGTCTCATAATGAAGAGCGGTCTTCTGACATATCGAAGAGTCAGAATGATTCCACAGCTTCAGACAACAAAATAGTGTCACCTGACAAACCAGAGAATGTTGTGGAACCGACAGTTAAAACGGATTCATCAACTAATGAACACTGTGAGAATGCAGTTAAAAATAGGAGCCCGGGACCTCTAACAGAAAATAAGGTCTCGAAATCACCTGAAAAAAGTGAAGTCTCTCTGAGCACATCCAAAGAACATCAGGATTTCACAACTTCAGCGCACAAATTGGAGTCATCCAAAAGTGAAGAGACTCCCAAATCGCCCGAGAAGCATCAGGTCTTAACAGCTTCTGAAGACAAAAAAGAGTGATTCGCCAAAACTAAGGACTTCGCGGAACAAATGAATCTCAGGCAGTGATAAACAATAAATTGGCACCTGGCTAAGGAAGATTTAAGAGAAGCATTGTTTTGGAAAAGGAAAAGAGCCAAAAAAGTCACATATTAAAAGTGAATACATGTGTAGCCACTGAATATTCGTACGATAGCCTTATGACTTTGTCATCTTTTAGGCCTTTTTAAGTGTTATTTATTGACAGATATAAACATTTTCTTGTATAAATAGTTGATAACTAGCAAGTTTTCGCTTGCTTGTAATTTAGACAGATTTATGTTTTTCATTGATATTGATTGGCATCGTGGAAACAGCCTCTTGCAAAAATGAAAGGTAAGACTGTGTACAATAGACCCTTGTGATCTGGCCCTTCCCCGGACCCCGTGCATAGCGGGAGCTTAGTGCACCGGGCCGAAATAAGTTTCACTAAATATCTAACCTAGTCAGAATTGGATATATTGTCAAAGTGGCATTCTTGTAACAAAATGGCTAAAGTTATATATCTATGTTTCGTCTCAAAAATAGCCACTGAAAATCAGCGTGGCTACTAAGCGAGAGGAGAGAGGAAAGGATAGACGATTTCGTGCAAGAAATGGAAGTAAACGGTTTTTGGTTGATGGGAAGGCGGATAGCAGTGGCGCAAACGTTGATCAGAAATATCGACTTCAAGAACACTTATCACTGCAATATGAAGTTTAAATCTGAAGAAGAGCTCTCTGAACATATCGCCTCGTGCAGTTTCAGGGAATTGAACTGTGAAAATGAGGGATGTAACGCGCGATTTAGTGCAGCTC